AAATGTTATAGGTCAAAATTTCGATTTACCTAGCAATTTTTTTTCTATCTAAACGTCCTTTTATACTTATTAGGGTGTACTCAAACCATTAATTATGGAATTAAAAGATTGGAATCCAAATCCCCACGGTTTAGGGTTTAAGCCGAATTGGTCCTTAAAGTGGCCAAAGATTACTTTTTCATCCCAACTTACTAATGTATACCTAATTAAATTGTACTTGAGTTCTATGCCCTTAATTACATAAAATGAGTCCAATATTACTCATTTTCTTACTTAGGCCTAAAGGGTTCTTGAGTGAAACCTTAGGAATTCATTTTCTCCTCCTTTCTAATTTGTAGTTTATTATAGGGCGACCTCTAATCAAGTAGGCAACGAACCAACTTCGAGCATAATTAGATCTCATCCTTTTTTTCATTAGAAACTGTATATATTTATTCATAACATATATAAAAATTAGGTTTAAATATCAAACACACAATTCATAACATAAATTTGAAGTTTAAGATTCAATCAGTCCAAGCAGTAGTTCATACAGACACAGCCTATGCTAAAACGGGCGAAAGTTTTCTATATATACCTAATAATAAAAATATTTTACATGGAGTTATTTAATACATTGATAAATAACTTTTATTCTTTAAGATTCACCTAGAAATCAATCTAAGGTTCTTGAACGAGCAATACCAAAGTTGGACGTAAACTACTCCTCAATAATACCGATTTTGCCGTTTATTCCAACCCACATTAACCATATTTTAGTCCAATTAAATTTTAGTCCAAGTCCAATCCAACGCATCATCACATACTTGGACATGATTAGGCATTATAAACATCACAATTCATCACCTACACAACATCCATAAGTAGAGCAAGCCAAGACATCAAACAACCACCAACACAAACCAAACTCAACAATACATCAAACTCAACCAATACATAACTCAAACACATAAAAATGGACATATAAAAGCATAAATAAACCTACTTACTTAGCTTAGATGTGGTTGGATTTTCTAAGATTTTCTTTTCCTTTCCTTTCCTTTCCTTTCTCTCTTTCTTGTCGTTTTTTTCTCTCCCAATTTAGTGGTTTTGGTTTGCTAAAAATTCTCACCAACTTAACACTTTCTATCTATATATGTAATTACTTTCCCTTTTAAGTGAATTAAGTTACAAGTGTTTAAAATTAATGGGACAATGTGTAAAAATTATGGTGAGTCATGTAAGAGGTGGCAAGTTTGGGGTAAAAAATGGGTGAGTTGACTATTAATTCATTTAATGCATTGCTTAGGTGTCTAATTAAAAAATTTAGGTTAACTAAACACCCTAATTAACTTGATTCAAGTAATTAAACATAGTTTCCTTCATGAAATTTCAGAAATTTCTTTTTTTCAAAACTCAAAAATTCCTTATCCATTCTTTTCCAAAAAATTCCAGCAAGTGGTACATCAAAATGGTATGTACCAAATTAATCATAACTTTATTTATATAAGTCTAAAAATTATGAAATTTTACAGAGAGCTAGTAGACACATAGATGAACAAATTTTATGCTTTAAGTTTTACCCAAAAATCACTCTAAGATCCATAAATAAATCACACAAAATTCGGACAGAATATAGTCCTCAACATACCGATTTTGCATATTTGATTTCTTAAATAATTAAACCATTAATCTCAAGCACAATAACTTTAATTTAACATAAATCACACATTTCAAACATTAATTTCTCATGATATAATGACATTTATACTTACACTTAATACATGCATATATATAAATATTCTAATATATGTCGTTTTACGGTTAAGGATATATATATATATATCCGGGGCTACAAATGAACCTTACCTCCTTGTGTCCATAGGGCTATCAATTTCTGTACAAAGAAGAATAAAAACTTATTTGGATTGGAGGTGGTAATGTGATGGTTTGTCATGCCAAAATATGAGGGGCTACGGATGAACCTTACCTCCTTGTGTCCATAGAGGCTATCAATTTCGTACAAAGAAGAATAAAAACTTATTTGGATTGGAGGTGGTAGTGTGATGGGTCGTCATGCCAAAATATGATATGTAAAGTACTAGTAATGGTTAATAAGAACTAGGGATGGCAATGGGGCGGGGCCGAGACAGGGATCGCCATCCCCATCCCCACCCCGTGCCCCGAACGGGGTAGAATTTTCCATCCCATCCCCACAGGACAAACGGGGCCCTGTTTTACCTGTTTGTGTCCTCCTCCCCGTCCCACCCTATTTTACCATGTTTTGACAGATTTTATAATGAGCACACACAATTTGCATAATTTTATTTCCCAAGCAAAAGGTCAAATCACACGAACTCTACTATAAGTCATTGTTGACGGGGCAAAACGGGGCGAGGAGAGCAAATCCCATCCCCGTCCAAAAAAATTACGAGGCGGGGTGCCCCGCCCCATTCCCCAATCAATGCGGGAAATCTTCATGTTTATCGAGGAGGGCGGGCGAGGCAACCTCGAGTCGAGTCATTTTGCCATTCCTAACAAGAACAAAAAGGACTTTACACCAAAAATTGCCTACTATATATATATGTTTTTCACAAATTTGGGCGCTTTGGTCGGTTAGTTTAAGTTGAGGACAAGCTTACAAAAAATAAAAAAATAAAAAAAAGCTTCTATTTTTGTTTAATGTTGAATAATTGATTTAAGTTGTTTTTTTCTTTGTTTATTTATTTATTTTTTCTACAAAAATTTCAAAATTCTATTTTAATTGTTAATTAACTTGTTACTTATCTTTGAAGTCTTGGTTATTGGGGATTATTACTTTATTTCCGCATCTTATTAACTTCCTTTGAATTTAAAAATATCAATCAATACCTAAATATTGATCCATTGATACGCTCCCCTCAGATTAATTGAGGATTAATTAGCTAACAGAATTCTTTGCCATCCTTACCCACCACATTACTCCAATTAATTAACACCATAAAAATGCTTTTTCAGACCCTTCCTAATCGTATAACCTGAACTATATATATATATACACACACTTTGAACATAGGATTTTTCTTTATTATTTTTAATAAAATAATGAGATTAATAAATGTATTTATACAATAATTACCTTGTTTTATTAATTTAACATTGTATGTTAATTGTTTGGTGTCCATTAAGTTCATATATTCGATTAAATAGAAGTCAAATTATCTATTTAATTTTATTTTTTAGAGCCTGATTTAAGGTTTTAAATTAAATGACTAAAGAGAAACACACTCTTAACTATAGTTTTTTATTTATTTGAAAATAAAGAATATTCTCAACTTAACGTATCTAATAATAGAGACCAATTTTTCTTATTATACAATATGCTTCGTATATCCAAAGGAATTTAATCCTAAATACTAGTTTAAGGTTTTAACCTTTAAAAAAAAAAAAACAGTATTATATATATATAAAAATTGGATTTGGTTATCATTCATTCAGATTTATATGTACGGTTTATTTTCACTATATAATGGCATTTTTGTGATTTTTTAAGTATTTATAGTCAAATTTAATATTGTGTTTTATTTTGATATCTAATATTTCCAAAACATATTTTTGATCTCTAGATGGACTAAGTACGCATGATTGTCCTTTTTTTCTTGCTTCTTTTTTAGCAATTTATTTTATTTGTTATTATTAATTGGGTGTGAAAATTATGAAAAGTTAATTTTTTTTTTAATTTTTCATATAGGTTGGTGATTATAAAATATATACATTATGTTTTTGGATCTTAAAGTGAATATATATATCAAATTATATTACTCTTATTATTTAAAATTAATAATTTCAATTTGTCATTTTTTTTAATAAAAATTCTCAACAAATCAATTTATTATTCTTCTTTTTTTTATGTAATTTTATTTGTTAACAAATATAATTTATTTTTCTCTATGTATTAATTTTTAAATATTTTTTTCAAATAAATAATCAATTGAAAAATAAAATTCAATAAAATAATTAAAATAATATTTTCGAAGAAAAACCTAATAATTATACAATTTTATACTAATATTATTGATTTTTTTCTAAATAAATATATTTAAATCAAATGTACGTATTTAAAAACAAAATTATCTTCTTAGTAACATTAAGCAAGAATAAAAAAGATTTATTTTTTATTTTTTATACAATTTTTTTATATTAATTTTTGTTTTAAAATTTCATATTAAATTTTTTATTTAAATTATTATAGGTTTTTATTTGAGAATGAATGCATAAAAAAATTATTATTTTTTAATTAAAAAATTTATGAAAAACATAAAAAATAAATTAAATATAAATATTTGATTAAAAATTATGAAAATAATTTTATAATATTAAAAAAATTAATAGTTAATAGTTAGAGTTATGTGTATAGAAATATGGTTAATTCTTAATAAAATCAATAATCTCAAATATATATATTATGATCAAATTCGTTGGATCAAAGTATGCAATATAAATAAATAATTTTAAAAAAAACTTAAATTCTAATAAATATATTGAAATTAGTAAATTGTTACAAAATTAATTTTGATATATTTTAAATATATAAAATAAACAAATAAAACATATGAATTTTATTTTTTAACAAATTATTTATTGAAAAAACTTATTCAAAAATTCATATATAAAAAAAATAAATTAATTTGATGAGATTTTTAATAAAAAAAGGATAAATTGAAGACATTAATTTTAAACAAGAGTCACGTTTTTTTAATCATAAAATTTATGAAAAATATAATAATGAATAAAATAAATAAAATTTTTTTATTAAAAATTATGAAATTAGATAAAATTTATTTTTTTAATTTATATATTTTAGTTATCAATAATATATTATAGACTAAAGAACTAAATTAAATATATTTGGTTCGAAGCATAGCGTGATGCGGAATGGTATCTTTTATTTTTCTTAACATAGAACAAAGGTTAACCCCACATTTTGTACTGTTACCTTTATACATATCTCCTCGAGCAACTCGATATGGACACGTTAAAACATGCAAACATCAAATGCTACTTCGCTAACCCCCTGCCATGTGGCTGTGATCGGTGCCGGCGCCGCCGGTCTCGTGGCGGTGCGTGAGCTACGGCGTGAGGGTCACCAAGTGGTTGTCTTTGAGAAAGATAGCCAAATTGGGGGCACATGGTTGTATACTCCACGGGTCGAACCCGAACCACTTGCGCTAGACCCAACCCGACCCATCGTCCACACCAGTTTATACAAGTCCCTCCGGACCAACTTGCCGAGAGAGTCGATGGGCTTTATGGATTATCCGTTCGTGACCCGAGCGGGTAAAGGGAGCGATCCGAGAAGGTTTCCTGGTCATACAGAAGTGTTGAAGTATCTGCAAGATTTTGCAAGGGAGTTTGGGATTGAAGAAATGGTGAGGTTTGAGTGTGAAGTGGTTAGTGTGGAGATGGTTGACAATGGGAAATGGAAACTCAAGTCAAAAAAGAAGAGACTTGAAGACGATGATTTTTTTCTTGATGAGGTTTTCGATGCTGTTGTTGTTTGTAATGGACATTTCACAGAGCCTCGTATTGCTGAAATTCCTGGTACTTTTAGCTTCTGCTATTTTTTCCATTTTTCTTTTTCTTTTTGGTCATGTGGGGGTGCTCGACTTTTCTATTAAATTGAATTATGTGTTTAAAATATTGTTCAATGCCCATGTTTTTATTTTATTTTGGGGAAATATATCCATCTTCTTGGCTTCTAAACTGGCATTGTATTATTACAGTAATACATAACGGATCTTCGAAAAGATTTTGTAATGGTGTTTTGACTGTGTCCTTAATCTTCTTGTTTGTATTGTTTTCAGGCATCAACTTGTGGCCCGGGAAGCAAATACATAGCCATAACTATCGCACTCCTGATCTTTTCAGGGATAAAGTATGTCTGAAGTTTTATGCTTCTCTTTGCCTCAATAGATTATAGAGTGCCTCTCCGGAATGTCTCTTGATTTACACAAAAAAAAAAATAATAATAATAATAATAATAATTATGTCGTAATTCTCCTGTTTAAATTGGGGTCTTGAAGCCAAGCTTCTTTCTTGAGCTATTGCAATTAAGTAGATCGGTTTCCTAGATTACAGAGCTTGGGAGTACCTCGAGCTTTCAAAACTTGACCACAATTTTCTCACAAGCCAGGCTGTAGGGGACGTTCTTCTTTTGTACATTTTAATATACCATGTGTAATTTTTATGTCAATATCCGTCTGTTTATGTGTGAATTTAATTTCCACTCATGTATGCTCTCATAGCTCTGTTATCTTTTGCAATGCAATTTTCCTTTTCTGCTGATGTTTTTCCATGTCAGGTTGTAATTCTAATTGGCAGTTCCGCAAGTGCTATTGATTTATCCCTTGAGATTGGTGGAGTTGCCAAAGAGGTGCACATTACATCTAGATCGGTTGCCAATGATACATATGAAAAATGGATTGAATGTGATAATGTATGGCTACATTCTATGGTAAGAGTACCAACTAGAATTGAGAGTGAATACAAGAAGGCTATCATAAGAAAGTTTGCGGAGACCCTGGTGCTGGGAGATGTCTTGATCTAAAGTGCTTGTTTTTTGTTTTCTGTTTTTTCCCTCTAAATTACACAGATAGAAAGTGTACACAAAGATGGTACTGTGGCCTTCCGAGATGGTAACACTATCCTCGCTGATATTATTTTGCATTGCACAGGGTAATTTTTACTTTTACTTTAGTTTTGATTTGATGTGGTTTAGGAATGGACTCTTTTTTTTCATGTAGCTTCTTTCTGAATGACATATTTAGGCAATGCTGAGGCAAACATGAATGGCTGATGGTTAAATTTGCCATTTTTTCTTGTTTATCAGGGTACAAGTATTACTTTCGGTTCCTTAAAACCAATGGCATGGTGACTGTGGATGACAATCGTGTTGGTCCACTCTACAAGCATGTTTTTCCTCCCATTTTTGCCCCCAAAGCTTTCCTTTGTCGGACTACCCTATAGGGTTGAGCTCAGCTTTGATATATCTCCTCTCTTTTCTTTTTTTTTTTTAATTAATTTTTTTTTAAGTGGATGCTAGGTTTTATTGCTGAATTTAATCCCTTGCATACCATTTTTACTAGAATTTACCTTTCCCAATCTTTGAAATTCAAAGCAAGTGGGTTGCTGGTGTTCTCTCTGGTTGAATTGTGCTTCCTCCACAAGAGGACATGATGGAAGATGTTAACTCCTTTTACTCAACACTTGAAGCTTCTGGTGTACCCAAGCGTCACACTCATAATATGGGGGATACAATGGTAAGCCTCATGTTTGTTCCTGTAGAAAATTGATCCTTCTTTTATCATAGTTTTAGTATGGCACCTGTTTCATTGCTAGAAAGTAGAAATTAACTAACTGAATAGGGCTCATTCTAGAGGCCTTGCACTTATAAAAATCACATTTGATTGTGTGTTGTCTTCGTTCAATATGTTGCTGGTAATTAACGGAGATCTTTTCCTTTTTCACTTTGAAGATAAAGCATCTCTGCCTCAAATGTGGAATTATGTCACTTTGTCAATTTTTTTCCCAGCAATCCCTACCCTTTCTGGAACCTTCGTTTCCAACAAACTGGTTTTTAACATTTTAGGATGATCTGAACGAAGGACTAAGTTCCAAACTTAGTGGCTAAACTCAACAAAAGCCTATATCCTGAACTGAATGGATATTAAATGGAAACTCTTTTGCTCCATGCTTTCTGTAAACAGCCATGAATCAGATTTGCAACTTTCCTCTTTTAGTTTATCATAATAATGTGGTTTTTTTAGTGGTGCATTTTTTGCCAATCTTCAAGTATGTTTCTTAGCTACACTTGGAATCTATTTTGTTGGTTGTCCATGCCATGTGCATGTTTTTGGAGAATAAAAATGTTCTATGAAACGGCCAAGAGATTGCATGCCAATCCAAAGACATTCCGCGATGAATGGGAAGATGACAACCTGGTCTTGCAAGCCCGTGAAGATTTCAGTAAATACATCTCAAAAAATGTTGCTAATGGTAACATTAGTGAGTAAAGGAATTCAAAATACTTGCATTATAAGCTGAAAGGAACACCCTGGCATTACTCAATGTTTTGATTTTGTTATGTCTCTTTTTTTTTTTTTTTTTTTGGCTTCCAAAAGAAAACTTCAAATTGTTTGCCGGCATTGGCCTAATGTTAATGAGCATGTAAACATCTGAGAGAGTTACAGGGGAGGGGAGCCCATGATTTACTCAATATGGTTGTAAACTAGCCGATTTAGTAAAAGAGTTGCAGAGTTTTTCTTTCCTTTTCAGGTTCCTGATTACCGAACTTTAGAGCAAGGAGTCCAAGAATATGAAATTCGAACTCTGGAAATGAGAGACGCCCAAAGGGAGCTGAAATTCAGAATGGGATAGTAGAAAGGTAAAATACGATTCGGCATCTTCATGGTTATGACCTTTACTCATCTTATTGGGCCTAGATCATTCCTATCCTACTCTCCCTCTACTACGGTCACCTTTGGTTGGGCTGAAGTAAGCCCTCAGTAATATCCACTAACCATTGTTAGAAAACCTATCCCAAAAAATGATTAATATAAGATAAAAAAAAAATAGAAAGTACATTACAAGACTTATTATTATTATTATTATTAGAGATAAGATCTAATCTCAATTGTTAATTAATTTCAATTATCAAATTTAAGATGATATCAAAACTGAAAAAAATTGCAAGTATCTGGTAAAAAATCTGGGATAAACCACAAGACTCTACCACCTGCCCGGGGGCTGATACCTTGAACATGAAGTCTTGGCAAGCTTGTCCCCTATTTGTGAATTTTAAGAAAGTCCAGGAAAGTTTCAATTAACAAGAGTCCATTTTTTGTTCCAGAAGTTCCCAAATTTCCAGTTCCATTTCAATATTTCCATAAACTTAACCTACTGGATATCATCAACTGAACCAAAAGAGTAGCATTTTTTGGATCCCAGAGATGGCACGCATGAAACTATAGCAGAAAATACTACAACCAGAACAAAGCCATATGTTGTAGATGACATATATTACTATATCCTTGCACAAACAATTAATTCATTCTTAATTGTTTATCATTGACTACGCACAAAATAATTTCATCTGCTCAGACAATAACGAACACAAAAGGCAATACTTTCCAGCTTTATATCCAGATGGGAGCTTTCCTGAGAGGCTGAACCCAATATCAGGGTGCAACACATCAACAGAAAGCTCAATTGCTGACTTAAAAGAAAGATCAAATTTGCATTAGAGATTCCGAACAGAAGAGATCATTTTGCATTTCATCATCACTTTATTAGAGTTATAAAAAAGGATCACACTGTGCATAAAGGAAATTGATACCAGATAAAACTTTCAAGGTCAATTTGTTCTTTACTGTTGCTAAAACAGAACAAACAAAAAACGGAGAAAGGCACAGAAACAGTTTTTACTACGCATGATGTTGAAAAACTCCCTATCATTTCATTGCTACTGCCAATTCTCAATTATATGCACAAGCATTCAGAAGCTTGACATACCAAACTTCCATCGTCTACACAATCAGTCAATATCAGCAGCAGCAGAAGAATCATTATATGAACCAGAAATCACAGTACAGATATTTTCCAATTCCTTCTCTAACTGAAAGTTCTTTTCCTTCTCAAGATCCAACTCCTCCATCAGATTCTCAATCCTTTGCACCATTTGTTCCTCTCCATCAGCCTCCCCTCCTAACTGAACAATCACGCTGGCTACTTGCCTTATCTGCTCATCGGAACTCCTCTTTAATGCCACTAAACCCTCTAACGCTGTCTCTCGATTAAAGCCGTCAACAATTCCTTCTATTGCACTTGTGTTTGCACCAGTATGATCTCCCACTAAACCCTCTAGCACGGTCTCTTTATTAAAGCCCTCAACAATTCCTTCTATTCCACTCGTGTTTGCACCGGTGTGATCTCCCACTAAACCTTCTAAGTCACCTGGCCCGCCTGACGATTCACTGAACCCAATGCTCGTGTCCGGAATGATGGTTTCATCTCCAAAACGAACCATTTTCACAACTGCATCATCTTTTGACTCAGTAAGGAATTCTGGGTCAAGCTCGAATTCACCCTCATTAAATTTCCAGCTACCGATCCTTCTAGTCTCCACACTTGGACCCACTGAGTCATTAACCTCTCCTTCTTCAACATCAACACCACCAGTAATCTGCCCTGATGTCCCCTCGTGTAAACCTTTGGTTTCTTTGAATGTTTCTTCAACATTAGGCAAGGCATCGAAAACCTTTTTGAACAAAAAGTCTAATCCTTTACAGTTCTTGAAGAAAGAATACTCTAACAGCCGATCAGGATAAGGTCTCTTTGAATGGTCTTGATCAAGACAAGAAGCAACCATATCTGTAAAATCTTTAGAGAACTTCTTTTTCTTGAAATCTTTCTTGTGCTTCTCTTCATGATAGTCAGACAACCCAAACCTCTTTTTTATCTTCATGATCAAAGACTTTGAAGGAGGAAGGCGAGAGAAAGGAGGTCGGCCGTGGGCTAATTGCACTGCAGTAATACCAAAACACCATATATCAGCCTGGAAACTATAACCTGTATCCGGGTCATGTATAACCTCTGGTGCCATCCAATATGGAGTCCCTGAAACATCAGTTAACCTCATTCTTGTTGAGGGAGACAATGAGGATGATCCCACAATGCTACTTGAGTCGTTAATCGAGACCGATATGCCATAATCTGCAAGTTTTATGCTGCATTATCAACTGTGTCTATAAGAATGTTGTCTGCCTTGATATCTGTGTGTAAATAGCCTTGATCATGAAGATAAAGCAAACCCTTTAGGGCTTCTTTGAGAATTATAGCAATGTACTGCTCTGGTAGGCCATCAGGGAAGTAAGAAGAGATTATGGATTGGAGAGAATCAGCAGCCATGTAAGGCATAACCAGCCAAACATAGTGATCAACAACGAAAGAACAATGGGATGCAAGAACGTTAGGGTGTGAATGAAGTGACTTGGTCATGCTTTCACGTCTGAGACTATCAAAATCGTCTGGAGATTGTTCAAGATCAATGATTTTGATTGCAACCAAAGTTGAGTTCCAGTTGCTGTGGATACACATTGCTTTGTGCACTGTGGCACTCGGACCACCACCAATCTTTTCCAAGATTCTGTATGAATCTGGGTGTGTTGGGTATTGAAGTTGAACCCTTTTGGATTCTTGGTCTAGTCTAGCAGCCATGGATGAAGCTGATTGTGGTTTGATCTTGATCTCGATCTTGAAAGGGTTTAATTCGAGAGAATTTTGTTGGTTTCCTGAATTGGGGATGGAGTTTTAGGGATGTTTTCTTGATAATGAGTAGGCTTGTTTTGGAAAAAGAAAGCAAGTAGGTAGTTTGCAGGGTGGTTTCTTTTCTTGTGAAGTCTCAGGTTCAAAAGAGTCAGTCAGAGCGGTGATTTATCTTTCAGAAATGAGAGTGAGATGATGCATGGCATGGGAATTGGGAAGCACAGAACAGCTTTTGAGGGAAATTCAGTTTGAGGAAAGCAATAGGTAGGAAACTGTGCTGGGCTTCTTGTACCTCATGGTTTGGGCCTTTTCCTTTCACAATGGCTAAAGAAGAGAGAACGATCTATTGATAAAAAGATGGGTTTGTGAGATGTTCACAGCTTCAATTTAGCTGTGAAAGACTGCTCTCTTGCAAAGCCAGTTTGGTTGTCAGCATAAAGCTTGCAGCGTATATCCTTCACTCGCAATGATAACAAAATAATAATAATAATAATAATAATAAAGTTTTTTTTTTTTTTTTTTTGGCTAAGTGATCAAAAAAACATCATGAACTTTCAATCAAACTAATATAGATCTATATTTTTAAAAAATTTTAATTTTACTATCATGAATTATTTTTTAGTAAATAATAGATCCCTTTGATCGTTTGTCTTAAATTGACTACATGTGATATCGCGTGATGACTTGAAACATAAATACATATGACCTTGATAGGTGCATAATTTAAACAATTTTTATGCCATTTTACATTAAACTTCCTTATGTTTATTGCATTATATTAAAGTAAATAAAAACAAGATAACGATTTTGGGTTTTTGTAAGAAAAATGACAAATCGGAGTGAATGAACCCAAAACAAAGTGCACAAGAAGACAAAGCCTCCAAGGAAGTAAAGAAGTCACACGATCATGTGACCTCCAAGAGGAAAAATCTACTGGCCATGTGAAACAAAGAATGAAACTATGTGGATGCTTAGTAAACAAGACACAAAGGCGGTAGCAATCTACTTAGCTTGAGTAGGAGAAGCAACACGTTTGTGTGAGTCAAGGCCGAGATGTCTTCCAAGAAGAAAGAAATGACATATGGGCGGAAACTAAAAAACATGGAGCGAAGAGCAAATTAAGCACGACCGTGTGCCTTAGTCCAACAAGCCATGTGCCACCATAGATCGAAATCTCTTGTAAGCAAACTATGCATCACTAAAAATCTTTCTTGGTTGAAGGAAAAGTTGAAGCCTTTGGTGTAAATCGTTGTGAGATTTAAACAACTTTTATCTTTATTCCTATTTTATGTTTTTCTATGCTATTTGAATATGGTTATGTGGTTGATTGATTAGAGTGCATGCTAGTTGATTGATCATTATAATCTATTGCTAGCTAAGTGTAACCCTCGTAAAAACCCTTATCCGTAACGCGACGTGTATTAGAATAATTTTATATATATGTATATTAAGAGTAAGTATAATTCTCATTTCATCATGAGAAATTAATGCTTGAAATATGTGATTTATGTTAAATTAAAGTTATTGTGCTTAAGATTAATGGTTTAATTATTAAAGAAATCAAATATGCAAAATCAGTGTTTTAAGGACTATATTCTGCCTGAGTTTTGTGTGAATTATTTGAGGACTTTAGGGTAACTTTTGGGTCAACTTTAAAGAATGAAAGTTGTTCATCTATGTGTTGAATAGGCCTGTATAAAAGTTTATAATATTTAGACCTATACATTAAGAGTTATACCAATTATAGTGAGGGTTGTTTCGAAATGCATTCTGCTGGAATTTTGGGAGAAGAATCTGCCCGAATCTTGTGAGATTTATTTGATGCTGTTAGATTGATTTTTGAGCCAAACTTAAAGAATAAAAGTTTTTTTTCTATGTGTTTACTAGCTCTCTATAAAATATCATAATTTTTGGATATATATAGAAAGCGTTATGCACATTTTAGTATAGATGGATTAGGAGGTAACATTGCTGAAATTTTAGGGAAAAAGAAATTCCGAATTTTAAAAATGGAAATTTCCGAATTTTTATGAAAGAAATTATGTCTAATTACATTAACCCAGCTTATTAATGTGTTTATTTATCCTAAGTTTTCTTTAGCCACCTAAGCATTTGAATTAAATGCTTGGAAGCTAAATCATCACATTTGACTTCCAAAACATGCCAGCTTTGCCTTCCAAGCTTCCTTCACTTTCCATTTGGCCTAGTTAAATTTTAACACTTATGATATAAATAAATGAGAGGATAAAAGATGAGTATATAAGGGAAAGAGAGGGTTAAATGGCTGTCATTTTTAGGCCAAAAACCTTAGCCATCCAAAATTAAAGGAGAAGCCACATTGAAGAGAGAAAAATAGCAAAAAGAGAGAAAGAAAGAAAAGAGAAAGGGAAAGGGAAAAAGGAAAGAAAAAGAGCTAAGGAAATTCTAATCAAACCTAAAAGAGGTAAGTAGGTTTCATTTCTTGGCTGATTAATGTCTTAAATTATTTTTTTTTTAAGTTATTTTGTTAGTGTTTATTTCATGGGTTGTAATAATCTTCAATGGTTATATACTTGATGCTTGGGATAAATCTATGTATGGATGCCTTGTTGTGATGATTTATGATGTTATGATTTTTTTGAAAAATGTCCAAGTATGTGGTGATGGGTTGGATTGAACTTGGACTAAATTTAAGTGAACTAAAACATGTTTAAAGTTGGCTTGGAATGAACTAATAAATTAGTGTTGATAAGGAGTAAATTCTGTCCGAATTTTGGGGTGTATTTTCAAGGATTTTAGATCACTTTATAGGTGAAACTTAAAGCATAAAAGTTGTTCCTCTATGTTTCAAATAACTGCCTTTAAAATTTCTTGGTCATTGGATTCGTGTACAAAGAGTTATACCCGATTTAGTACAGATAGCTCTAGACAAACTACTACTAGGCAGATTGCTCCCTAAGTTTCAAAATTTGTAATTAATTATGTACTTGGTATTTAGACGTAATTTTTGGATATGTTATAAATAAATATGTCTAGTATCTAAAATAAAATGAGTAAGATTTAATTATGTTCTGAAATTAGAAAATTATTTACTTGATTAGGAGTTGCTCGGTAATAAACCCTAAAACCAAAGAATTAGACTTTGACAAAATTAATGGGTTTGGAATAAACTAAATGGGCTTGGACTAAATAAAATGGAATTGAATAAGGTAAATGGACTTAGGATAAAGTTAATGGGCTTGGATTAAAGTAAATGGACTTGGACCTTCTTTTAAATATTAATGAAACTAATAAACAATATTAATGAGCGAGAGGTTGTGTTCCCGCTATGAGTATCATGATTGGTATGTGAGCAACGGGTAAATACCGAGTGTGGATTGGACTGTGAGTATGGCATGAGAATGAAGGGTTGGTACCCGAATTTGGTTGAATGTGATTAAATATGTCATCACGTGCATCATGTGCATAGTGGGTGGTTTAAGACAAGTCAATTGATTGAGAAATGGTTTATACATTTAGGTTTGATAACCTAACTGGAATAAATGGGTATTAGTAGTCCGAGTACTCTGAGGTCGTGTGCCTGCACTATTAGACGATGGATTCTCGCTAATAGTAGTTACAACGAGGGATAATTTCGTTGTAGCGAGAAGATGATCCGAGGATCATTTGGATGATATCAAGCTATGTGTTTACACTCGTTAGATGATGGATATCTCGCTAACGGTAGTTACAACGAGGGATAATTCCGTTGTAGCAGAAGGTGATCTACGGACCACCCGGATGATAAATAGAGTAGATCGGCTAATACCCGAGGTACCCGAGATTAAAATTTATGAGTATGGTGGGAAGTCAAAACAACATTGCATATCACGTGCATCACCCTACTTACGAGCTTCGGCTCACCCTATTGTTATTTTTATGTTGTGACGGAAAAAGGACAAGTTGGTACGGATGTAGCTGGCTCCTCCTAACTGGCTCATATGAGGCACCATATATTAGTTTTTATTTTATCTATAAATTTGAGGTATGGAGTTCGTGAGAAATTGAATATTGCTCGTAATGTTTTATTAATATATTTAATTATGTGATGTAAATTTTATCTTAAGGAGTTATATACGTAATGTGTTGTTAAAGTTTTAAAAATATCATAAGATAACTACTTAGAGTTTAAGGTATGTCGGCGTAACGCGTTTCGTCTAGTACTCTACTTGGATAGTAGAAATATGACTAGGACGGGGCGTTACACTAAGTATTCAAGTCCATAATTGTTTGTCTAAACTTGATTATGGAAGTAATTAAGCAATTATGGGTTAATGATTATAAATGGATTTTTGTTTTTAGCTCCACCTATCTTTTTATCATTTAATGTTATTGTTGGATTAAATCTAACTAGAATTTACCATGTTATTAAATAGTTAAGGATTAATCAAATTCCATCTATTTGACTAACAAATTATTAAGGAAAGATTGGAAATAACATACATTTTGTTATCTTACGATGAATATTTATAATAAAAATGGATTAATATATGAACCGATGATCAATAATTGAACCAAAAGTGGAGACCCATATTTAACCAAGGCTTTCATTTTTATTGTTATCTCTATATTTACTTTTATTTACCTTTGCTACTTTAACAAACCAAAACCCCTCTTTTTACCTTTACTTTACTTTGAAACAATCGGAAGATAGAAAACATTGATTGAACCATTTCTCTATGAGATCGACCCTAACTTGTCCTAGCTATAGTTTTGCAAGTCGTTTTAATGAGGAAAATAAATAATCAAATTTATGGACGATATGACATGTCATCAAATTTTATCACCGTTGTTGGGGAGGTTACATTCAAAGTAATTATTTCTTGACATTTTGATCTGTTTCTTATCATTTATATCTAATTAGTGTATGACCAAATCTTATATAAATGACCTAATCTTTAATCCTAAATCGAAAAAGAAAAATTTCTTAAATT